TTTAAATAATTTTGCAAATGGTACTGTACACTTTTGTCTAGTTCTCGCTCGATGATCGGTGGAGAAATGAGCTCCGCAGACAAATATGATTAAGAATAAAGGGAAGGGGCATATCTCTAACTTCTTGAAACAAACAGTACACTTATCTCCGATGCAATCGTAGCCAAAAATTCGGAAAGACAGGGCTGACTTCACTATTTACGATTTTATACAAACCTTGAAGGCTTTAATAATTGTAAAATTTCTTGTCCATAAGACACTCTATATATGTACATATATACATGACGTATAACCGTCAGAGCGACAATAATTATTACTTTATATACGATGAAAGAACTTCATCGCTTTTCAGCGTCAGCTGGGGATACAGAACGAACCCTCTCAAAGAACGGCGATCAATAGAACGAAAAGAATGTGAACAGTTCTTTTGTGAACATATACAATAACACCAAATGCTCTGTAATAGTCACTGACGAGAAGACGAATCTCCGACAGATACGCATATATTTTGGACTAAGGAGAAGCCGAAAAAAATAATTGCTCGTCACGCATCAACAAGGCAGAAGTAAAGAGGTTTTGAATGTGACAGACAGCACGCATTCATGGGACGAAACTAACTGTAAGTACGTAGTGTGAAATAATTGAGAGATCGCGTTAACGTCATCTATCTACATAGTTCACGCGAGCGAATCCAAAATTACTTAACAAACGCCATCAAAGCATGCAATACATACTTTATATGCTGTACAATAGATACAGTAGAATCCGCTTATAATGACATCGAAGGCAAATGACAAACACATCATATTTTGCGGGCTTCATACAAGCCATAGTCTCAGAAAATAAACAACTTTCTATTTTGGTTAGTTATTTAGTTTAATAGAAAGAAAAACTACAAATTGTATATATTTATTAACAGAAAAAGAAAAAGGACGATGAATTGTAATATCAATATACATAAGAATGAAACGAAAATGTTATTATTAATCATTTGGGTTACTATAGCCGGATATGATTTCTTGAGAATCAGTCATAACAAACGATATGTCATTTTAAACGGAGTCATTATATCCAGACTTTCCTATAGATAAATTAATATGAAAACCAAACTTAACACTGCAATTACTTCATATTAAGCGGTTGGTCAACATAGGCGGAGTCATAATAAGCGATTGTATTCGATAAAATTAGAAAAACGGATTATGAATTTTTGCAATTGAAAACTAAGAATCGCGTGGTACAATTTTCCTTGCTGATTGTTTCGGAACACCCTGTACATCTATCCTATTATGTCGTATTAGCGGTTAAAACCTTTTTAGGCTCCGACGCCTGACGATAAAGCACATTAAATAGAATTTCGCCCACGATAAGAGGCAGGCCAGAAATTCAAAACTATAACAATGCCCGAGACAATGTATTCTAGCTACGTGGCATTAATATTCATGTTTCTAATATTCCGCGTCCTTTAATCGGGACACAAAGGACTTACTCGAACGGCAATGCGACCGGAGATGTTTTCATATAATGTACCTACGCTCACGCAACTTTTAATTATTGTACTTGAACTTCATATTAATGTTTGAAAGGAATTATGGTAAAAAGAAGTTCTCTTCTGAATCATCATTAATAAATAATAGATGTACCGTTCCAAGATCGCAGTTGCGTTGTCCCGATCTTGACACGACTCAGCTAACGGAATTTTTATCAAATTCTACCTTGGTATACGTAAGTAGATTAAGAATCTTCAGAATAAAACTGAATCGATACTGTTGTTGTTGTTACCGACTTAAGAATATGGTAGATGGAATAAATAGGCAATTTCAAAGTCAAACAACTCATTGGTTTCTAATCATATCCCACATGAAATAATGATATTCCGAACAAAAACTCCGGGAAAATCAATAAGCAAAAAGGTGATCAGGTTATTATCAAACCGGCGCGTAGTCGGCAACGTCCTTTTTGCAGCGATGTTGCAAAACACTGATCAATAACGGCTTTTTAACTTTGCCGGCGGACCAGTCAGGGTCATAAANACAAATTGTATATATTTATTAACAGAAAAAGAAAAAGAACGATCAATTGTAATATCAATATACATAAGAACGGTTAGAAAAATGAGAAAAAATGTTATTATTAATCATTTGGGTCACTATAGCCGGATATGATTTCTTGAGAATCTGTCATAATAAACGATATGTCATTTTAAACGGAGTCATTATATCCAAACTTTCCTATAGAGAATTTAATATGAAAACCAAACTTAACACTGTAATTACTTCATAATTAGCGGTTGGTCAATATAGGCGGAATCATAATAAACGAATTCCACTGTACGTAATATGAAACAGTGCCAAAGAAATACAATATGTGTCGTATGTCGTTGAATAATTGGTCCACACGTCAACTATTAATAATGCAACTGCACAAGTTTGTATTATCTTATCGCCTATTGCACGTAGTCATCCCAACAAATGTCGAAATTAGGAATATTTTAGCGGCTTATTTGGTGTCAAAGGTCAATAATTATTGGCTCAATTTCTTTTTAATGTTATGCACATCTTGAAAGATAGTTATGGATAGTTAGGTAGATTCACCAAAAGAAGCGTCGGCAGATTTTGATGAGATTTATGTAGTGCGGTACTGTCGAATGATTATAGGTTTAACAAAATAAAGGGGTTCAGATGAAAAGAGCGCTTTGGAAGCAGTTTTGCTTACAACTTAACATTTACTACTTACAAATTCTAAAAGGGGTGTCATCATTATAAAGTACAATTTGTGAGCGATTGAGGAAGAAGGGTGATGATTCATGCAGCTCTTCTATTGACGATAAACAATTCTTGCAGTATAACGTTCAATACCTACCTCAATTCATTCTGTTTCTGCTTCTAAATGGTACGTACGAGTCTCTAACTAGCCCTTCATGTATGAGAAAATGAGAAGGTCTCCTATCAACCTAGGCATATCGCTTATTTCTTATTGAAACATAACGCTTTCTGTTCTCCTACTCTTTCTAATTCCTCCTCATTTCTAACCTTTTCTAATTACCACATCTTCTATCACTTTTTGTTTTCTGTAATGCCCACCGTCCAAGTTTCGCACCCATTCGGAGCCGAGCTCTAAACATACAGTAATCGTTTTTGAACGAACCGATTGCCGATATGAACAAGTGTCATATTATTATTTCTTTTTTGATTTCTCATTCGTTAATGTATTTGACAATTTGTAACCTTGGAAATGCTTATCGGGTCCAGTTTATTCTATTACCTTTATCAGTGAGTACAATATAAACACAATAAACTACAGTATTTACATTTTAAATACACTTATGAAATTGTTAGTTATAAAGTCAAAACTATTTAACTTCTTTGTAGTATTTGCTACTAATTTATACAAATATACTTAACCGAACCAAGCCATTAAGACAAACTACCTACTTATTAAAATTTTAATAGTTTTGACTACTCTATTAGTTGGGCGTATAAGCAATGTGTACATTACATACAGTTATTATATGCAGTACTTATGTGAATGTTCATTTTTGTCCACTACAAATTAACTTAAATTAATAAGGAAAAATTGTTCCGGCTGTCTTGCCCTAGTCGGGAATCGAACCCGGGACCTTTGACTTTACGCACCAAACGCTCTGTCTACTAATTGAGCTACGAGAGGTGACAAGAACGTTGGTGCGTAAAGTCAAAGGTCTCAGGTTCGATTCCCGGCGAGAGTATGACAGCTGTAACAACAATTTTTCTTCATTAATTTGTGATAATTTGTAGTGGATAAAAATTAAATGAATATTTACATTAATATTAAATATTAACCACTA